GGCAAGTACATGCGCCCTATAGCAAACCTCTTCAAAAAAAAAAAAAAAAAAAAGGAAATCAAATGGACTAATTTAGTTTTTAAAAATCTTGTTTATCACTACCCACTGCTAAAAACTATTTTCTCATTCTTCATTATAAATTCTTTACATTGCTATGTGAGGCCCTTCAACAGAAATTCCTTATTAAAATCTATGTACTAAAGGACCAGCAGTTGGCACAATGGCTATGTTGCCGAACTCTCATGTAGTTGACCGCAGTTCGAGTCCTGGACTCAGTGGCTTAAAACTCACATCAGGCGCATGTGCGTGCATGCCCAAGATCCTCAGAGGAGGAGAAGGGATTGTGGTGTGGCCATCCTCCCCTGGGGGGTGACTTCTCGCTTTCAATCTCTCTTTCTGGTGAGCACGCACACTCTATAGCAAAAACCTCTCAGGACCAGCAGTTAGCATAATGGCTATGTCGCTGGACTCCCACGTAGTCGACCGCAGTTCGAGTCCCGGACCCGGTGGCTTAAACTCATGCCAGGCGCGTGTGTGTGCGTGCCCAAGATCCTGAGAGGAGAATGGAGGAGAAGGGGTTGCAGCGTGGCCACCCCCCCGGGGGGTGATTTCCTGCTTTCTGTCTCTCTGTCTCTCTCTGTCTGGCGAGCGCACACGCCCTATAGCAAAAACCTCTCCAAAAAAAAAAAAAAAAAACTCTCCAAAAAAAAAAAAAAAATATATATGTACTAAAAAGTTCATAAACACAAGGAGTACCCATGTCTTAGCCTCATACCTAGAATGTTCTCTAAATCTTTCCCTCTGCACTTAAGGTCCAACTCACATCTTAACCTCCTTTCAGCAACCTTTTATAACTAATTCATCATTAACACTTGGAGCACCAAAGCCTACACCACTCATGCCACTACCATGTGCAGGTTATAATTATACGCATTCTAATATCCAGTTTGATTATAAGCCTTTAACGTTAGGATTCCTAGCACATCTATTTGTATATTTAGTTTATATACACAGCTAGTAGTCAAAATATTAATAATTTTGATCATCTTAACAGAAAACAGATTCCCAGTAACATAATCAAATAGTTACACAAAGTATTATAATAAAAGAGAACTCCTAGGGGCCGGCAAGTGGCATAGTGGTTAAGGGCGCTGGACTCTCACATGGCCGATCACGGTTCAAGTCTCAGTCCTGGTGGCTTGCTTTCTCACTTTCTCTCTCTCTCTCTCTGTCTCTCTCTGATTAAACTGAAAAATAATAATGATAATAATAATAAAAAGAGTTAAAATAATTCTTAAAAAAAAGAGAGAGAACTCCTACAATTTGTCTAGCAAAAACTTAGCATCTTGTCACCAACTTACTCTCAAATGATTCTGGAGGGGAAAAAGTTCTTTGAGTTGTGCCTGCCAAAAAGGCATAGAAAACACTGTCTCTTACTCTGTAGTACTTGTTTTTTTTTGTTTGTTTTAGGTTTTTGCCATGGAGTATGACCACTCGCCAGAGACAGACACACACAGAGACAGGGAAATTGATAAATCATTCCCAGGGGAAAGGACCACACTACAATTCCTTCTCCTCCATTCTCCTCTCAAGATTTTGGGCACACTCACACACATGCCTGGCATGATTTTCAAGCTGCTGGGTCTGGAACTCAAATCGAAGTTGGTCATGTGGGAATCCAGTGCCTTAGTCACCACATCACCTGCTGGCCCCAATAGTAATGTTTTGTATGTTCTTTATAATGTTGACCTCTGACATCACTGGATCCTACAACTGAAAAAGTAAATAATAAGGAAATTAATGTATTTGAGTTTACATCTTCAGCTTTCATACTTTTTCAAGGAAAAGAGCTAATTCTGATTAACACAGATAACTCTGTACCACCACTTACGTATTCTTAGAAGAGCTGTACATTCCTTTTAGGTTTTTGCTATAAGGCATGTGCCCTTGTAGGGGGCAGTAGGAGGCATACAGAGACAGAGAAAAAGAAAAAGAGAAACAACCCCCCAAGGGGGATGGCCACACCACAATACCTTTTCTTCCATCTTCCTGACTTTCTACAATCAGCATTTACTAAACATGTTCAAAACCTTCCCATTAAAAATGCAAGACATGGGAGGCAGCAAGTGGCGTGGTGGTGAAAGCACTAGACTCCCACAAGGCCAACCATAGTTTGAGTCCGGGACCTGGCAGCTTGGAAATCACATGGGGTGTATGTGTGAGCATGCCCAAAATCCCAGGAGAAACCTCCATAGAGGGTGATTTCTCTCTTTCCCACTCACCGTCTCTCTCTAGCAAAAAACCTTAAAGAGAAAACACACACGCACAAGACATGAGTCAGCCATAAAACCTAGTGTTTAAGGAAGCTAGATCCCACACAGCTGACCACAGCTCAAATCCTAGCCCCAGCAGCTTGAAAAATGTGCCAAGTGTGTGTGCACACATGCCCAAATCCCCACAGAATGGAGAAATGGAAGAGAAGTGATTAAAGTGTAGCCATGCCCCAATAGGGAGTACTTTTGCCCTCTCCTCTGACAAATCTTTTTTTTTTTTTTTTT